ATTAACAAGTAAATTAATTATTGAATGAAAAGGGTGCAGGAAAAATAAAATCTTAATCTAACATATTCTGCTCTTGCTTATTAAATCAGCCTCAAAATGAAATGAAAAATGTTTTTGGCTGGAAATATGATTGAAAGACTTGATCAGAGAGTTTTTGCAGTGTTTAAATCTTAAAAAAAAAACACAGTCAAGCACCTTCATTTAATGATCACAACCCCCCTACACACATACCRATATGCTTTGTGCCGGTACCTTCTGTTTGCAAGTGTTTCTGTATTTCAGCTTGGCTGTGAGGAACATCTGTATCAGCGCGCAGCATCATGCCACTGTTAATGAGTCACTGGGACTTGAGAGTTTCACTCAGTCAAACACWTCATCCTACACTTGTAAAAATAAATAAATTCAGACAGAAATCCATTCCAAGTGACAATCCAGGCCTGTTTCCATGTGATGACTAAAACACGCTGGATACACTCAGTTAATTTGATCTTACATGTGATCCAAATGAGTTTGGTCTCCTTTCACATCTGCTGTTAATGTTTCAAACAACAATCAGCTTTTCAGACACGCTGGTGTGAGATGAAGCTTCGGAGTCTGATCATTAGATTTACTCCTAAACTTGTTTTTTTTCTTTCCTCAGGAGAGCGAGGACGGGGGCGAGCACGGCAGCAGCTTTGTTTGCCCTCTGTGCACGCTGGATTTCAGCAGCCCTGAGAGGCTCATCTCACATGTCTACCAGGTGAGAACTGCACCGTCTCGTGCAAAAACTGTCATTCATGTAGTAAATTCTCATGTCAGGGGCAGTTTAAGGTTCAAATAGAATAGTATATGTCTGGGTGGTGAATATGTTTTTGAATCTTTAGTTATTTCAGTATTTTATGGTAATAATCCATAGTTTGAAGGTGCCTGTTACATCACATTTTTGTAATAAAATTAATACATTTTTGGAAAGATAACATTGATGAAATTTAAAAAAAAATCACTTTGCTGAGATGATGAGTTGTTTGGATATTTGCATGTATATATTGCATTGCACAACAAGAAATGATGTCAAAAGGGAATGTCTGCATGTAAACAGAGTGTGGTCCAACAGCTGACAAGAATCTGATGCTGCTTCAGATTATTTTGAGTCACTATCAGAGAGATGAAGAAGAGTCAGAGTTCAAATAATATTGTCTCGATAAACAAAGACCAGAGAGTTTTCTTTCTTAAAGAGTTCCCCTTTGATGTCACTTCCTGTTTCACTTTATGTAGACAAATAAAAATAAAATATGCAAGCTATGTGACAAAATCTGTACAATCATTCATTATGCCAAGTTTCTTAAATATGAAGATGGTTTCTTTGACTTTTTGTGTTTGAAAGATAGGCATGTCACAGGCACTTTAAGTTTGTAGTWCTACTACCACTTTATTTTCAGTTCTTTATTTTTGTCTTGTTTGTGTATTACAACATTGATCYACATTCATGTTGTACACTTTTGTTTATATGCAAGACATTTTTCTGCTCAGTTTTAATTGTAAAGCAGTAGCAATGTTTATTTGTTCAGTGATTTCTTTCTAAATATGCAATCATGATTTTATTTTTCATCCATTTGCATCTTTTTTTAAATTTATTTATATATGTAGCCATTTACTGACAAACATAAAAAAACAGGCAATAGTCATGTCATGTTGGTCATGTTCGGCTTCTCGCTTTAATTTCGTTTCACTGTTTTCACCAGCACACGACCATGATGAGCAACAGCAAAAGCTACGTGTGCCCGGTGTGTGGGCGAGCGCTGAGTTCTCCTGGCTCACTTGGACGGCATCTTCTCATCCACTCTGAAGACCGCCTCTCCAACTGCGCCGTCTGTGGCGCACGCTTCACAGACACCAACAACTTTAACAGGTTCGGCTCTGCTGCTCTGGCCACGGGCCCTTCATGCAGATTGTTTATTCTCTTTAAATGATCAAACGTTTGGGTTGTTTACATGTTATTTAGAAGTAAGATATATGATAACTAACATTTTTTAGTCTTTATTATGATATAGAYGAAATTCATTTTATCAGATTTATCAGTTCTTTGTCTTTAGTTTTAGTAAAGATTGGATTTTGTTGTGTCTCAACACAACAATCTATTATACATTTTATTCCTCACATTCACAATCAAACAGCTAAATGGGCATGGTTTCCTAATCACAAAGATTTAGGTTGTGAAAATGTGTGCAATGCATCAGTTAGTGAAATTTGTTTTTAAAGTAGCACATTGGAAAAAAAAAATGAAGCAGTGTTTCTTGAACTAAAACAGCCTGTAAAACATGAGGGGTGTATAAAATGAGCACCGCGATGACAGATTTATTGGAAGTAAACTTGAACGTTGCTTAGCAACTACCATTAGGTTTTTAAAAATACACAGCACTGACAAGGTTAGTATTTGTGGTTAGTCGAAGCAGTGACAAATTATGAAAAGCAACGAACAAAAGTCCAAACTTTAAAGCAGCTTGTTGATTTTATGAACAAAATAGAAAGAAAGAAATAAAAAATATAAAAGATGYAGATGTGTGAAAAACACTGGTTTCATGGTTGCACTATTTCTCTTTTTTCCTTGTCTTGTTAATGTGCAACAATTAGTTTACTAAATTTGTAGAAATTAGTCAGATTTCATCAATAAAACTAAGTGATTAGATATCATGTATGAGTCAGAAAAATAAGTGGAATTGACCCAAAACTACTTAAAATCATTTAAARGGCCAATATTAWATGTTTCTCAGGCATACATTTAAATACTATACCATAATAAAGCATCAATATCACCTTTAGTTGTTATTAAAAGGCTGTTTTTATGTTTAAATAGAAAATAAACTTATCTTCTCATCACTTCCTCTTCTAAACGCCTTGAAATTGGCCTCTGTCTCTTTAAGAACCACCTTCTGCTTCTGTCTCGCCAAAGACAGTTTAAGTTTCACTTTCACTTTCACCCAAGAGCCTGCAGGAGTCATGGGCGGGGTGTGTGTGTGTGTGGGGTGGGGGGTGGGGGCTCCGCCATGAGGAAGTTCGGCTTGAAGACACGTCCCAAAAGGCTTTTCTAGTCCCCACCTGTCGTTTTGCTCCTCAGCATTGCTTCCTAAAATCGCTGCGGGATTTCTCAAACATGCAAGAATGAGTCAAAGCAAGGCTTTGGCCATGTTTTTTATAAGAGTTTAACATTATACCATGATATAAAACTCAAACAAGTTGATTTTACATGATATAGCCCCTTTAATACATATATTATTTTTAAATGTACTTTATACATTTTAGTATCAAAGACAGTCAAAGATAAAATATCATATTAAATAAAAAAAACAATAATGTGTCTAAAAGCTAATTTTTCTAAACTTTCAGAGAGAAGCTTAAAGATGTCCTCGACACGTCCAGGTTGGACATCAGTGGTGGACGGGATGCCTGCTCCATGTCCCAGTCCCTGTCCAGCAGCCCCATGAGCAGCCCGGGCTCCACCACTCAATCCTGCCACGGACCAGGTCCTAGTCCCAGTTCATGTCAGGGCCCACACCTGTGTCAAGCTCCTGAAGCCAACCCCAGCCTCTGCCAGGGCCCCAGCCACATGTCCAGCCCGTGTCAGGAGCAGCGACCGTGCCACGGCTCGGGCCCCGGACCGTGCACGGGGTCCGACCAAGGCCCCTCCTTTCCTTCGCTGCCCGACAGTCTCCTCTCTGAAGGGCCGTCGCTCGCGTCKTTCCCTGAAGCTCTCAACTCCTCCTCCTCAGCCCTTCCTCCCATACCCGACATCCTGCCGGTCTACCCTGCCGGAGTGCTGCTGGTGTGCAACAGCTGCATGGCCTACCAGCAGCTCGTGGAGGCCCAGTCGCCGATGCGAAAGTGGGCCCTGCGTCGAAAGAACGAGCCCCTGGAGGCCCGCCTGCAGCGTCTGGAGCGCGAGCGCACGGCGAAGAAGAACAAGCGGGCGTGCGAGTCGGAGGAGGAGAAGGAGCTGCGGCGGCTGCGGGACCGCGAGGCCAAGCGCATGCAGAGGATGCAGGAGTCGGACGAGCAGCGGGCGCGCCGGCTGCAGAGGGACCGCGAGGCCATGCGTCTGAAGAGGGCCAACGAGACGCCGGAGAAGAGACAGGCCCGGCTGGTCCGCGAGAGGGAGGCGAAGCGGATCAAGCGCCGGCTGGAGAAGATCGACCCCGCTCTGAGGACACAGATCGAGCACGACCCCGCTGCCATGGCYGCCCTCACAGCAGACATGAGTCTCTTTCAGTTCCCCTGTCCCATGCCCGTCTCCTCCATCGATAACGGGCTCTTCATGAAGCTGCCATAATCTGGAAACGTAAGGAAGGAGCGACTGTCGTGTAACATTCTTAACCTGTACTTTCAGGATGCCATGGGGACGTTCAAACCAAGCCCCGCTCTTTTCCTTCCATGTTGTCCTGCGTTGAACAGCTTCATTATTACTTCTTCTCTTTCTAATTTATTAGTCTTTAAACAAACCTTGGGGACAGGGTTGAGTTTGTTTCATTTTGTGTGGATGATRTAAGAGCATGTTGTAAAGAGATTTATCTGTCTGTGGATTAGCAGATTTTACTCAGCACGTTCTGGTGAGAGCARGTAAACGGTTCCTTTTGAGGATGAAAAAGAAAGTCATTTGCACATGGATCCTCAGTAAGGGGAGTGGAAACTTTGAAGCCACATGCCTCTTCTTTCCTGGTCCACTCAGCTAGCCCGCTCCTCCACCCTACCGTAACTCAGACTCACCGGTAGCTACACCTCTTTCTTCAAGCTGCTACCGCGGGAAGTTCATGTCTACTACCTCATCCGGCGCCGCSGCGGCGCTCTGTCCTCTGGCGTACCGCTGTCCAACAGCAAGTTTCCAAAGCTCTGTACGGACTGGACAACCCCACAGAAGATGCAGGTTTATTTCCTCCTCTTTGTGTTTATCAGTGAGGTACTTTCATAGGACCTTTCYGAACACCTGAACTCTCGAATGTTTGTCCTGCTGAACAGTGTCGACATTCCCTTCATCTCCTGAGTTTGATGCATCTTCCTCGCATTCTTTTCTCCAGTTACGCTCCATAATATTGCCATTTCGTTTTATTTTCCTTTGTTACTGAGCCTTTCTCGGGCCTGTATAAACTCAGTCTGTGCGGCTGTTATTGTACTGTACGATACATTAGTTACCTCTTGTATATTCTGGACTCATCTTATGAAGAAAATGTACTGAAATATTCTCTTTAGGTGGTTAAATAGGGGGAGTACCTAATATGTTACMTGTTGACCTCAAATTATGTCACATTACTTGAATTCTGCCTGCAAAGATGCATTTTTTTATGCTATTGAGGAAACGGCTACAAGAACRTAGGTTTTTAGAAAATTTAAGTTCATTCTTGGATAACCTCTGCTTTGTGCAATTTCTGTAGCATTCACATGCTTTATAAGTCAGCAGTAACTTCAAAATGGGTTATTAGAACCACTTAAATTGAGGTTTTGCTTTTTTTTACATTCGCAGATAAAGTCACATAAKAGGTGGAAAATATGTAAAAAATGCAATCAAAGTGTCTCTTCTGTATKTAAGCACTGGGGCTATTTTATGTTACAGGAGATTTTATTAATTTATATTTGTTAACCTCATTCCAGCACATATTTATGCAATTTTTCTTTAGTCTCATGATCCTGTTTGRTGTATGTTTGCTGATATTGATGTTTGAATTACAGGCCAAGTTTGTAGAATTTTTTTTTTCATTTCCAGTCGGCAAAGTTACTTCCAGTTTTATCGTCTCTTCTCCAGATGCAAAACTTTTCAGTGTCAAAGGARCAGTTTTAGTTTCAAGGATGAACAGCGTTTGAGTCACTCCTAGGCGAAAGTCATTTTACCTGCTGTCGCTTACGGCAAATTAAACGAAGAAAACATTTATCTTTAGAGTAACTTTTGACTTTAGGTCTCGTGCTCAGAGGCTTTCCTAGGAGTGGATCAAACTTCTATGCAACACATTTATTTGTTTTAAAAAAAATCACTGAATCTATGCAGAATGCCAGCTGAAATCTTTACACAGAATTCAAAACGGAAAAAGTTCAGCTTCTCAGGCAATTTAACTCAGTAAGTGGGCTCAGAGCCCAGATCCAACATCTCAGTCAGATCACTTTATCAAACATTTTTTTCTGTTTAATTTTCCACAGTTTGTTGTTGTTGACACGTTTTCTCTTTCAAGGTKTAGCACATAAAAGGAACAGGGTCTCACTGCCATCCGGACCACAACGCTCCGTATCAAAGGCAGACYAGAGAGCTCAGTGAAGGCTTCTGGTGTCATTTGTTCCTCTCAGCTCTTAGACCATGAATACTGGGTATTCTCAGAGGTCGCTGTTTGAATCTGCTGTGAACCACTTTGTCTCAGAGTGGTCAGAGGGAGAGCCCTGTGGACTCATGACGGGTCTTTTTGGAGCTCAGTTTGGATTAGAGTAACGTTGCATGTTATAAAACTGCACTTGTCTTATAATTGTTCAATAGGAGCTTGTGTTCTACTGTTAGATTATGCCTGCTTGTATTTTTTTCCCTTCTTAAATTTTAGGCTTTTTTGTATTAATTCTATCAGAATTTTCCTCCCAATGTCCATGTTTACAAAAGCAAGTATCTCTTCTAGAGGCCAAATGAATGAGCTGTCTGGTTGTTATTGATGCATTCGGACTCGGTGCCACTTTAGGGACGCCATCTTCTGTTACTGGATTAACAGATGTACAGACCTTCATGAAACCTGGTAAAGAATGTGGAATTAAACATTGCATTTATTATAAAGTTCGTGTCCACCACTAGTCTTCTTYGACTTTACTCTAGTTTTGTAGATGGGTCACACAGTTTTGGTATTTTCAGCTCATTGAAAATATAAAATCTGATAAATTAGAATTATGGAATCATTAAAAAACAATGGATTTAATCTTAGTTTATTTTCAGTAGGTTGTTTTRGGTGGTGCAGTGTCAAAAAGTGTCAGAAAAACAGTAAAAAAAAAAGGTCCCTGCATTGTTCTGAATAGGCAACAGATGTAAAACCAGCACATTTAATAAAAGTATCCATCCTGACATAACATCTGTTAATATTAAAAGTATGTAATACACTACAGCATGTGGTTATTAGTCGATCGGTGCAATGAGAATGAGTGGAGTATTAGATAAGTCTGAGCATCACATGTGTGGAAAAACAGTCACTTAAGAGAGAAACAACCATTCACTTTATCACTCACACTATTTAGTTACCAATTAATCTAGTATGCATGTTATTTTATTATATATTTACCATTATTTAACCAGGCAAATCCCATTGAGATTGCACCACCATGCTGTCATGTCCACCATCACAGCAAAAATCCACTAAATAAGCTCAAGAAAGTTGAGGCTGAAATAAGAAACAGCAAGCATTCCAAATCAAGGACATCTCAGTAAAACATGGTGCTGTCAGTATCATAATTTGTGACCTTTTTGCTGAGAACTGGRTGTTCGGTTAAAGATAAGTTAGCAAGACAATGTCAAGCACACAAGTAAATGTCTGAAAAAAAATTTATAATCTGGAACCACAAAGTCTTGACTTTTACTTACTAAGCCTGTAAAAATCTCTAAAGTGAGATGTTGATATGAAACTCACCTTTTCTTAACCCTAAAGTTGTTCTGGAGAAAAAGTTATATTCATTACAGAGAATCAGACAAATATACACACATTCAGCTTAAAAAGTTAAACAAAAAAAACCACAACACACAAGTTGGACTGTCTTTTGAGTTTTATATTTGTATATATATTTATATATATATATTATATTGTGTTTACTTAACAAATATGATAAATGCAATGTCTCCATGTTAGCTGTAACAATAAAAATACAATATCTTTGTGTCTTTAAAGAAAGATTAAAAACAGCAAAACAAAAAAATAATAAAACGCCCTAAGTAGTTCACAGAGAGGTACAAATATACAGTACAAATCTATTTTATTCAAAAAGGGTACAAACAAAAATGCAACAAAATAGAGATATTAATGCTTTGTTAAAGTCAGGTAGGTGCAGGGTATTCTAAGGGAGCACTTTGGGTCAACAACTCTAAGGCTTCTGATAGAGATAAATACATATTGGTACGGCCATACAATAGTAAAATTCACTATACAAAGTTCATACAACCTGGATTATACTTGAGGATTGAATGTTACATTTACATAATTGCATATATTTTGCAGGTTTAGGCATTAGAAAATATACTGTTTTTTTTTTTTGTTTTTAAGATAGTTGCACGTCACATAAAAAGCAGTGTCACCTTGTGCAGGAAAAAAAAAGAAAAAGCACAATGTCAAACCTGGAAATACAGACTTCTTTAAAACTTTTAACCATTCGCATTCTTCTGATTTAAATCAACACAGAGCAACACCATAACTACACTAAGTTCACCTTTGCTGTTCGATAATGGGTTGGAAAGGACTTTGTTCACGCGCCACAAACAGAAACCATCACATTTCCATCAATGGAAAGCTGTCTGACTTGTGCAGCCAAATATAAAACCTACAGTTGAGAGACTTTGGGAAACAGCATGACACACCAAACACAACCCATCTGCTCTACAAGGTAAAAACAAACAAAAAAATAACTACTGATTCTGTGCAACAAAGAAGAAAATCTGTGCATCTGTTGGATTGCCCTTCACTGCTGGCACTCTTGAAACAGTCTTGTAAAAAAAAGTGCTTAAAAACGCTTCAATTTCATCCACTTCCACATACAGAAACCCCACAAAGTCAATATTAAGAAAGAGAATAAAGAACGTATAAAAAAATGTAACCAAACCAAAAACATCGGAGGAACCTGCTGTCACCCACAAAACCTTCTAAGTGTGTAGATTTCTGCTCAGGACATGTCCGATATGTACAAAGCAGAATTTAAGGCGTTATCGACAAGCATCATCAAAGCTATCTACACTAACGAAACGCATGTCTATCTACAGGAACACAAAACCTGCCTCTGGGGGGGGGTTTGTGTGCTTTAACATTTGTACGTCTTCAACTTACCAACAGATTTCATTTCCAAACACTGAAGGAGGGCATTTAGTGCAAATTATTACAACAGACATCAAAGATGTGGAGAGAATTCAGCACACAGCTTGGTTTCAGGGGACATTTCATGATCACCACGGAAGGCGCCTCTCAAAATGAAGGGTAAAAAGCTAGAACAAAACGGCTGGTTAACAGCTTGCACCATTTAAGTTGGGATTTGAAACACAACATTGAAGTGGCTGGCAATTATAGAAAAACTCTAAGTTTAAGGGAGACATCTCGGGTGATTTTGGCTCTGAATGTTAAGCATTGAAAGAGTAAAATTAAATAATCGGATGCTCAGTACTTAAGATGACAATCCCTGAACATAAAACAACTGCTAAATTTCTAATAAGTCGGTCAATTACATATCCAGAAGCAAGAGATCAGGAAAAAAAAAAACCACTGCATGAACTAATAAGCCCTGCTGTTTGAGACAACTGTAATATAAGACAATGAAGGGCACAGTACTGAGATCACTGCATAGAGAACATTGAGACTACATGAAACATTTCTAACTGTATGAGTATATATTGCTTACACCATAAAAAACTGAACATGTTGAGATTCTGATGTGACTAAATTACTGTAGTACAAAAAAAAGCAAATTTCTTTCTGTACACTGAAAGTTATTTTTCCTGATTTATTTTGTGCAATGCATTTTAAAAATCGGATGGCTTTTTGGTGTAAAATCCTTTGACTTGTTTACTTTAATAACCAACACTGGCTGATACATACTTGCTTTACTTTGTAAAACTGCACAGAATGACAAATACATCTAATACACTTCAGAGGCCTCAAGGAGGATTTTCATACAGCCACTCAAAACTTGCAGTGGCTGAACTGTGTTTGTGTGCCTGAGGGATTTGTTAAAGTTTAAGTCTGATTAAAGAAATGTGTGCACCTTAAAGAGATCATATAGTCTTATATGATCTCTGTGGTGCACATATGTTTTAAAGCTCCTCATAACATGCAGAGAATGACACAAAAAGGAGAAAATGATATACTCAAAAGAAAAAAAACATGTTTTGTCAGAGGTACATATCTATGGCTGTAATAGAGAAAACTGTTTATGCAGCATTTACTCTTTCTGATAGGAATGTCTGCATAAGGAATGTGCTGATTTATAAACTTCAAAATGAATTTATGTATGGTCTAATTGCACTTTGTTTTAATTTCACCTCTTTAGATTAAGATAAAAAATAAGTCAGAAGGAAGAAACTGCAGCATTCATCTTGGCTAACTTTGTAAACAGTTAAAAATACAAGTCAGTTTTTTCTTCTTCTTTTGCCACAAAACACCAGCACTTACTTCAAACACTCCCTTCAACATAAAAAAACTAATGTATTGTGATTCCTATTTTTAAGATCAGCATAAAATCAGTGACATTTGTGCAATACATGAACATCTTTAACACACGAGCAAATGACTGCAAACTTTAAAACAAAACATAATGCAGGACAAAACTAACACTCGTCACACCTCCTGAAGACTTTAGTAGATTTTATGCGGTGAAATGGAAAACCAAAACGAGGGTTAATCTACAACAACGCTTTGAGAAGTGAGTAGAAAACGAATCGGTGAAAATGAAGCCCAACTCAGTGCGTCGTTTCTAAAAGTTGGGTCAGAAGAGAGCAAGATCTCACATCCTGGAGACGAGGATTTAGGACATCCCGCAATGAAATTCCTGGGACAGTGCAGTGCAGCCAAGTGCTGTGAAAAGATCTATTGCTTTCATTCAGTAACTGAGAACAGACAAACCCAACGTTAAACCTCACATCATTTCCAACAAGGCAAATGTCTAGACCCACCCCACGCTTGGGCCTGAGTTGGTGGGTGGTGGTGGGGGGGGTTAATGTACTTGGCAGTGAAGCCAGCGGTGCAACAAGTTAATGACTTGGGATTAATCCCACCGATGGCTCTGGTGGAAGTAGCCAGTGAATACTGTTGATTAATATTACACTGAAGCCTGGCGAAGACGTTGGGAGGTACAGCGAGTGTCGCGCAGCTTCAAACAACATTCTCACTGAGGACACGGAGATCAAACGTTTCGCTTATCAGAGAGAACAAGGCATTATTTCACTCACTGCCACGTTGGCAGATGCATGCATTATGGCTCTCAGCCTAAAACCAAGACAGGAGAAACTGATTGTTAAACTGATTCATTTCTCATACTTGATTCGTAGACGAGTTAGAAATAACCCACGCCGCCTGAAAGAGGACCTTTAGGAATGAAGACAGGGAGCATTTCAGCTGACAGGAGAGGTTTTAAACTCAGGCTAGACGCACATCTTAACATCTACTGACAGCATCATCACAGGAGCTGCTGATGTCAGCAAATACGCTTTATTTTTGGTAAATAAGTTGGATGGCTGCAGGATCTTGAAAGTGTTGAAGATAAAAGATCCCTGGCTGTGAGTTTGTGTTACATCAGAGTTGATTGCTGCACTGTGCTGCTGCACGTGTTTTTCCTAAAGTGTGCTCTTCTGGTGAAACAGTTTTGGTCAAAAAGGTAAAGCCAAAGTGTCGTTTGTGGGACAACGTCCAGGTATGGGCATGAGGGAGTAGAGACAAAGGAGGGATGGAGGAAGAGAAAAGCAGTGTGTAAGGACTATTGTAGGCATTTTATCAGCTACAGACGTTCCACTCAGTTTTCCATGTTTCTGTCAGACCTCAGCAGGCTGAGAAACCAAAAGGTTTCTCTTGTTTGGCTGAGTAGTAAAGCAGAGCTTCTCATCAGATCGTGTTTTTTTCTATTTTTTAGGTGTGCAAAATCTCAAACATTCTGAGGCTACATTCACACTCTTTCTTTTCCCTCTTTCTCTCCTTGTCAGACTCATTCTTAGTCCTAGGAGTCTCTCCTAGAGTTGCTACCAAATGCGATGCTACTTCCCTGCATTAGAGCGCCCCTCGATGGACAGTTTAACCTCCTGGGGTATAAAAGATAGCCTCGTGTGGCCAGAGGTGATTATCTGGGGACGTGGCCCTTCGTCTCCTTTCATACTGTATCTTTGGAGGACAGGTGAAGACCAGCGCCTCTGAGAGGCACCTAGTGCAGCTTGCATCGCTCCCACGCCTGCTTCTCCAAAAGCAGAGCCCTCCATGTGCAAGTGATAACTGCTTTGACTCCTCGGATGYTCTGAAGAGGTTCTACTTGTTCTGATTGGTGAATCAATGTGTCCAGCGACCCCTAAATGTGTAGCTTCCTCCTTATCGGCCACATCTTTTTCTCCATCCCTCTGTCTTTCTCTATGGGTGCGGTCCATTCTGAAATGAGACTGAGGCCGTGACTGCTGAGGTGCAGGAGGCCCCATGAGCTGGTGACCAGGTCCTGATGTAGCGTTCGTTTTGGTTAAAGTCCTGGACGTGTTCTGCTGCTGCTGCTGCTGTGAACTGTGATTTTGTGGTTGCTTCTGAAGCTGTGATTGAAGCTGCTGCTGCAGAGTGATGGACACACACATGTCTCCGACTTGTAGATGGTGGCAGGCCAAACCGTACATTTGTGCCGTACGATCAGGGCTGCAAGAAGACCACCCCTGGCCAAAAACAAAGAAGGGGTGCTCCGGGGGCACGTCGATGGTCACTTTGCTCTGCTGCTCCCCCACAGTGAAGTGAAGCGATACAAGACCTGGTCTCTGCTGGCTGGCACGAATGTCCATCACCATGCTGGAATCGATTTTAAGCCCACCACTCACCTCTGCACTTCGCACAAAATCCTGAGTTTGCAGGTCCTCCACACGCTTCAGCTCACCGGTGGCCAGCTGGATGATTGCCCCCTTCATGAAGTGGGATGGATTAGAAGGAGCTGGGGTAGGAGCGACGCTTGAAGCTAAGGCCTGAGCTGCATCTGCTGTAGARTGGACTGGAGGCTGCTGCTGCTGAGTTGTGGTTGGCTCTGCCCTTTCAGGGAGGCACACTCTGGCTGAAGGATCAGAGGGCTTAAAGCTGGAGTTAGTGGAGGCCATAGTAGAAGAGGTTGCGGAATCATTAGCCTGTCCTGGGTAGTGTTGCTGCTGCGAGTGATAGTCAAGGGGAATGAGAACTGGTTGCCCGTTAGCAAGCATGACAGCGTGACCTGGCTGCTGATGAAGACCAGTCACTCTGTGATCACCGTAACTCGAGGTTTGTGCCACAAATGTCGTCCTTCCAGCCACAGCACCAGAGACGCYAATCTCCCCATGGACATCTCTGGTTCGTTGGCCACCCTGAGAAAGATTCAAGGGGGCAAATGAGACCTCTTTCCGTAAACCACTCCCAGCCTGACTCGAGAAAGTCAGACGACCAACCACCTGCTGCACCTGGAAGACAAACGCAAAAGACTTTAATTTTACCAAAACAGAAACCTTAAAAGTGACTTGCATAGCTGCTGACTGTGTATTAACATTACGTTTACTATTTTATAAGTTAAATAACTTTGAAGATTTTGGAGTTAACAAGCTTTTTTTCTTCTTTCTGCCTCCTTTCATTTCAAGTGTGATTTTCTTTTTCTCTTTATTGTGTATAAAAATTTTTGTTTTATTTTTAAATTAAATGAATAAATGAATTAAATGAATAAATAAAATAAATTAACATGCTATAAATATTTCTCACCTCAAGATCGCTGTCTGGAGTGCTGCACTGACCAGGTGAGTTTCGACCTTCTAGCCTTCGGCTCAGCAGAACTCGTTCTTGTGGCGCAGAACCACTTGTTACCTGCGATAAACGTGCATTTCTGGAAGCGTAGGCAGAGTCTGGTCCAACCTCCCTGATGCCTTGCTCTTTTCCTCCTCCATTAATCTCTGTTATAGTCTCCTGCTGAGAACTGTGGCAGTCACTGGTGGCAGAGGCAGCCCGGCTGCCCTGAGGTTGGTAGAAAATGGCCACTCCCCGGGAGTTGACCTCGGCAGCGGGTGGAACTCCACTAGTGCCAAGGTGCTGCTGGGCAAGTTGCTCTGAAGGCAGGATCAGTGGGACACCACTTGAAGCTGCGACTTTGGCAAATGAATGAGCAGCAACCTGGGCCTGAGGCGGTGGGGAAACAACATCTTCCTGTATGACGGCTGGATAAGGAACCAGGTGGGACACAGCGTGAGGCTGAGAGATGGTACCAGACGGAGGAATCAATGATCCCGGTACAAAGCCAGAAGGTACAGCATAAGGTACTGCGGCATAAGGGGAACTAACAAACTGGAGAGATGGATGAGGGATATGTGCATAACCAAGAGGAGGATAGGGAAGGCCTGGATGCTGCAGAAGTGGAGAATGGACAGTATAAGCTGGGGAGATGTGGCTTAACACAGGGTGAAGACTGGTAGATGAGTAGGTAACTGATGGAACGGCCACTTTGTAAAGCATGCTATACTGGTCAACAGGCACTGCAGATATTCCATCTGTATTATCCACTCCATAATGAAGCTCCGGATGAGCTCGCACCCACTCTCCAGATGGGGTTCCTCTATGATTGTCACTGTTGGCTGCAGAATTCTGGATGGAAAGCCCTTCATCTTCTCCATTACCACCACCTCCAGCAGCCCCACCTCCCCCGGTCCCTCCAGTCACACCACTGGTACTAATCGGTAGGTCCCTCTTCTTAGGAGGCAGGCACTCCTGGTTGCGCTCCTGAGCTGGTTTCATTGCAATCCCTGGGCCAAGTGAGCTGCTTTACTGAACTGCACAAGAACTGAAACCTGCAAGCCAGTCAGCCCGCACAGAAGCCAGTTCTGAAATTACCTGGCTGACTCTGTCTGCCAATTCACCTGAAAAGAATAAAAATAAATCAAAGAACAACTATATTAGCAAGTCAAAAGAAAAGATCATCTTACATGTAATTCTAGATGTTAATAACAAATGACAACACTGATCAGTCATTGCAGAAACAAAAATAAAAGCAAGTTGATGTTGTTTTTTGGGAAAAAACAAGATAAAATTCACTCTGTTAAAAGTTTTCTTGCTAGGGCCCTACTTTTTATTAAACAAGACTGCTAGTTGTTTTTAAGTACATTCATCCATTTCTGGACTGCAATACATAAATAAAACTACTACTGTAACAACGTGGACCGTATAACTGCATTGAATCAAATTCTAAAACTTCTCAAACTCACACAATCATTTATTTTCACCTAACTGTCGATTGTTTCAACTCTTCAATACGATACCTTTAATAACAAAGACCTGTCAAATTGTTGGTGCCAACCACAAAGACCCAGAATGAGTTAAAACTACCAAAAATAAAACTAACTCGAAATGAAAGCAAAGCCTCAAATAAAAAGAAATACATTTCAAAAGAAATCAATGCTACAAATAACTCAGACGATGCACAAGATCCATGAAAATTTTTGCTCTACACATATCAATAATGTTTACTGCAGATTTGAATCTTTCAGTTCCTGTTGCTAATTTGTAGAATGTGAGGTTTGTGCTAAAAAACAAACAAAACACCTTTATATCAACTTTAAACAAATTTAGGAAAGTGGTACAATTTTAGTATGAGAGCATCATTCAAATTATACAGACTTTTAAGTTTAAAAATATAGAAATTGTTAGCTTAAAAGTCAAATAACATATATTTTTGTCTGTAGGACATACAATAAAATTAGAGGCCCTTTTCTTCCATACAAATAAGTGGATTCTTAGGTGCACTACATAAATGATGTATGAAAAACATAACTACAAACCTCCTAGTTTTCTTTTTACGTTTGTGCTTTTCGTTAGCTTCTCTGGCTAAGCTAGCTAGCGACTAAAGAGACAGTTTTTCCTAGTTAAATATCTGAGTAACACAGTGACAGGTAATGCTCAAACATTAAATGTTCTTTTGAATATAAATAAAATTTAATGTAATATAAAACCAGCTGGTTTGTGTTCGAAATTAATATCTGTCATTAACGCAGGGGCTACGCTAGTTAGCACCATGGCTAACACAGCTACGTGAGTCCGACCCAACTCACATCAGCTCATAACAAACATGGTGGACAAATCGGTCATAAAAGTCTCTGCTTTGTCTCTTTTACTTACCTCCAAATGTCATCGCGGACTGGCGTATCTTTTTTTTCTAAGAATGTTGATATGGAGATGGTACAACTGAAAATAAAAAAAAAATCTGGGCTAACAAATGAAGCCCATTTTCGAAGGCCAGAAGAGGCGCTTACGAATGACATCACCACTTTTACTCAATTTCCTGTTTTGGCCCATGAGGCATGCTGTTGTTACACACTGTAGCTAAAATCAAATCACACATTTATCTCTACTCTTTTTATGTTTCATTTAAGGTAACCAACATAAAAATATTTAAAGATGCATAATAGAATTTTAAATACACAAAAAAACCATTTCAATTAGTAAAAATATCAGGAAAGTCCAATATTCACAAGTAGCTAAAAAAGGCAAACTGATGATAGATGAAATAATGACTGAAAAGAAAAATTATATTAGGAACTTCATGCTTTTTCAGCATAAAACATTGGAAATGAAAATTATTACAATTTAATACTTTATAGATATCAGATATGCTAATTTCTCTGAAGATTTACTTCAATATCCTATAAGAATCAAATTCAGATTTTTCATTTAGATGCAGAAAATGGCTTAACATATCCAAAGAGTCCTGATGCATCTCAGTAATCCAGGTAAAAAAAATCAAAAAGAAAAAAATTGTATAGGTCTTCTGGATGGGTTCTTCTCTAATGAAACGTTTCGTCTCTCTTCCAAGAGACTTCTTCAGTCTGTTTCAGGCAAAATTCAGGCTTTTAAGCACTGCCTCCATGTGACTGATACTCRCATCACATGGCTATCGTTGACACCTAATTAACACCTATTGTTAACAGGGGGTGGAGTGACACTGGCAATGGCAGCACTGTAGGAGGGGGACAACTGAAACGGAGGCCTCCACCTCTGTTTAATGATGGACGGTCTTTCTTCACAAAAATGGCTTCTTTTACTCCTCTCTCAAACCAACGTTCCTCTCTATCAAGAATGAGAACATCCTCATCTCTGAAAGAGTGACCGCTGGCCTGTAAATGAGTGAAAACTGCAGAGATCTGGCCGTTAGATGTAGCTCGTCTGTGTTGGGGCATTCTTTTGAACAGAGGCTGCTTCATCGGGGAAACAAAGCAGCCACTGTTCAAAAGAATGCCCCAACACAGACGAGCTACATCTAATGGCCAGAACTCTGCAGTTTTCACTCATTTACAGGCCAGCGGTCACTCTTTCAGAGATGAGGATGTTCTCATTCTTGATAGGGAGGAACGTTGTTTGAGAGAGGAGTAAAAGAAGCCATTTTTGTGAATAAATACCGTCCATCTTTAAACAGAGGTGGAGGCCTCCGTTTTCAGTTGTCCCCCTCCTACAGTGCTGCCATTGCCAGTATCACTCCACCCCGTTAACAACAGGTGTTAATTAGGTGTCAACGATAGCCATGTGATGTGAGTATCAGTCACATGGAAGCAGTGCTTAAAAGCCTGAATTTTGCCTGAAACTCTCAGACTGAAGAAGTCTCTTGGAGAAGAGACGAAACGTTTCATTAGAGAAGAACCCGTCCAGAAGACCTACTGTATACAATTTTTTTCTTTTTGATATCCAAAGAGCTGAACCTTTATTTGAAATGTTGCCTAATTATATTTTCCAGGAAATGACACAGAAAAGACACAAATAAAAAAAAGAGACAAAGTTGTTTCCATAAACAGAAAATAACCACAAAGATACTGTTTGACTTTTAGTTGCTTCGGGCCTTGTGTAGTTGCTTAATGAAAGCAATAAATGGAGACACATCTGAGTAGCTTCTAATTCATGTCATCTTGCATAATATAAATACAACAGGGCTTCCTTTTTTAACTTTTGGAATCAGAAAGGAAGTCAAATGAAAATAAATAACACATAAAATAGATTTAAAGGGGAAGTTTGGTTGTTTTTACTGCTTTTTGAGCACATTTTTATGTCACTGCATTAAAAAAGACTCGTAAAAATAAACTTGACCTTTTTTTGTACAAGCCAAATAAAAACTCTGACTAAAGATTCTTACAGTTATTACAACAAACAAGGTCTTGTGTAAAGACCGCAGTATTGATTGTAAGCAGCCATCAAAAACTACCAGAACTTTTGACACATCCAACTGAAAATCCTTCTCAAGTTAGAGTATGATGGGAAACAAACTTTGGTGCTGCAACTGAAATCTGTTTTCCCAGACAACAGTAAAATGTCTCAGTCAATGAACAGCTCTTGCCCAGTGCACACAGAAGAAACACCAAGGAAACCAAAGCAAAACAACAAGAATGGCATTTACTTAAATTCTTTAAATTAAATTATAAGAGTCACACAGCAGGGGGCGCTGGAGACACCCCAAATAAAAAGGACTTCCTTGGTTGTTATAGGCATAGATAAATATATATACTTACATATCTATGGTTATAGGAAACCCTTCATTGCTGCAGCACATTCTTTCATTAATGCAACCTCCATAACTTTTATACTGATTTTTTTCCTTCTGTTTCTTAAAAAGGCTACTTATGTGGCTTTTGAGCAGCGGTGCCTCCACTATCTATCTATCTATCTATCTATCTATCTATCTATCTATCTATCTATCTATCTATCTATCTATCAATCACAGGTAAGTGTTTGGAATGAAAGTCACTTACTTTAGCAAAGATTTAGAACATGCATGCTATAATCACCACTGCGAGAAAACCAAACCAGTGCTCTACATTTAGTCAAAAAAATGTCTTGATATTTACACACACTTGTTTGTACAGTTTTGAATGTTTGAGGAATAAATTGAATTTACAAGTCTCTAAATATGCTGTTAATAAGAATCTGCTTCACTTTTGTAAAATGTCTGGTAAGACATCTTTTTGTGACAATATTTAAATCAATAATAAAGGAAGTTTGCCTGTAATGAATAAAACCATAAGAATTTGTTTTTTTAATATTACGAGCTGTCCTAGTAGGTAGGGTTTGTGTATAACCAAGTCATTAGACATTTATACATGTTTTAATTTTAGAAACCTATTTTGTTGGATTGTGGTTTTCATTGTGAAGTTTTTAGCAAAATAAAACACAAAACACAATTTAATTTGAAAACTAATGTATTGATTTGTTACTATACATGTTCTGTTAGCAAAAACAGTTTCAGTGCAGTCCCCCTGAATTTTATTAATTTACAGATTCCTTAAATGCCACCAGTTAAAAAAAAACAAACAAACAAAATTAAGCCATCAGATGTAGAATACAGTCATAAAAACAGTCAATATATCCAAAAAGGCACAGAGGATGAGAAGTAGAAACTGTATCCCTCTTAGAAAACATTTGCATGAAAGAATAAATACTTCTGCTGATCATCAAAATCAAACTGTGCCACAAAAGTAGGAACAGCCATCATACATTTACAGCAGAGTTCAACATTATATATCACTGGAAAACCACAGTATATAAATATTAATAATTTTTATAAAATATAAAAGGACTAAATCCAAGATAAAAGTTATTTAGTACCATTAATCAAAATTACAAACTGAAAGATTTCACTCATATACAGTATTTATAGTTTTTGCCAATATTATATTCAACAAGTCTTAAAAATATTGTATCCCATATTCTGGGTAAAATGTGCAATTATTAGCTTTTGGGAGAGCAGGTTTACACTCACATTACACACAACACTAAGACACATCTGGTTTAGTTATTGCCAAAGRTTTACAAGTTTGCTGGTCAATCTATCATCACAGGATTGAAGCATCTTTGTAAAGAGACAAAATCTGCTGTGTTCCTAAACGCAGTTCTTTTCATCATCATTTTATTACCTAACATTTTTTTTTGTCTTAGACAGATTACAGTTATAGTTTCTGATAAGTTTTTTCCAGATGTGTCTCCAGTCTCTTAATTAGCTGGTTGTATGTTAAGCAGGTGGTAATTTTTTGGGGTCTACATACAAATACATTTCTTTAATAGTTTTAATAATAGCTAGGAACATCTTTGAAGCTTAGTTTAATCTGCCTGAGAAAAACTTGAACTTCAGCTGGTTTTGTCTTAATCATTACTTTAAATTAAACAAAAAATGTTAAAGAAAATCCTGATAAATGATGCTCATTGTATACAGTTAATGCTTTTCATGCTCGACCATAAATTCCCTTAATTAGTATTCTTATGATTCTGACACAGCATTGCAGAGACTGTGCGTTTGAGGACTTATTAAGGTGCTGTCTGGAAACCATGTCCTCCTCATTGAAACAGGAACGTTACTGTCTGAAATTTAATTCTCCAAATATGGAACTCATAAATCTCAAAGAATTTGTCCCTTTTTTTTTTTTAAATCAGCTGCTGTTCATGTGAACAGTTTTTGCCTCAGTGCCTTACCAGAAGGCCTCTATAAACATTTAYCAAAACCCCATCAAAGCAGAAGAGACTATATCTACCACAGACTCAAGTCCTTGCAGCTCTGCCCTGCCTCAGTATATTAAGCTTCAAACAAAACCTATAAAGTTAGACCCTGACACCACACCATTTGCTACTTATATTAAAACAAATCATTAAGATTTGGGCATCTAGAGCAAACCACAGGTCTGTAAAAGAGAAGAGAGCCTGTTACAGTCAACTAAGCCAGATATCCTCCACCTCTAATACATGGTAGAATTCTTGTGAGTTTGCTTGTTTTTCTCTTTTTAAAATGTACAGAGGAAAGAAGCAGAAAGAAGTATCACAAGTCCTATTAGGAGACTAAGAAAAACAACCTTTTGAAAATCAACGCTTGGTGAATTGCATCACTCCTGCTGCGAGGGAAAAAAAAGGATGATTCCTAATTTTCCACATTTAATTTCAAGCAGATAAACTCTGACTCTAAAGATAACACAGGTGAGTAAGAAGKAAGTGATTTAAAAAAATGTAAATTCCTCAAATATAAACAGATGATTCTGTCCTAAAAGTGATACTTCAAATTAGAAACAATCTCAGATTTGGAAGCAGCCTCAATGGTCCACAGTCTAGCATACACATCATTTTAAACCAGAAGTTCAAACAAGCCATTTACAGTTAATTTGTTTATGTTGGAACTGAAGAGAGGTTTAAGAAAGTAATATAATGAGAAGTGGAAATATGAAAGCTACTATCTTCAGTAAGTGTCATTAGTAAGAGTCTCCGTAGAGAGCCAGGTCTTTGCCCCACTCAGAAACTTGCTAATGGGAGTTCCTTGGACACTTCGCCAGCACAGATTTCCCTCAGGGCTGTAAGGAAAGGAGGAGGTTAAGAGCTCTGGATCTGTAGGTGGACTCTCCGGAGAACTTGCCTTTAAATACAGACTTCTTTGGTCCGAAGGGGGTCCACTTGGGATTGGAGGTGGACTGTTCTCTGTAAGGGGTCCTTTGTACTGCCTGACTTTGTTCTGCAGTGTCTCGATCTCATTGGCCAACTGGGAAAGCCTGTTGTAGTACGCAGCAGGGCCTCCTTTGGGAATACAGGATTCGGGAACCCAGCGAAGAAAGAAGAGCTTCCAGAGAACCACATGTGTAGGCAGGAGCAAGGGAATCAGGAGACCCTGCAGGTTAACGGGTCGAGAAAACCAGTCCCTGAAGTAGCGTTCTGATGGGCTTTCATCTTTCACTGTGGAGAATTCAGCCTTTAGCTCTGAGCTCAGAGAACTCCGCCGGTACAAAGTGTCCTCTTTACCCCTTTGTCCATTCTGCTGTGACATGGTTGTTGCTCGTACTGAGGAACTGTAGGTTTTCTGTTAGAGTGAAAACACAGGATTAGATTACAGCTAAAGGGTTGAGGGCTAGCAGAGTAAGGTGCACTCCTCCCAGGTTTCCAAAACAGAAAGAACTGGTTCTGAGGTCTCAGGTGTTTTGTTCACTAATGTACTATTGTGCAAAACCAATGATAAAAGGGGCTTTTACAAAAAAAAAAAAATGGTATATTTGGATTTTGGTTTATACAAAATATTTTTCCACTGGCCCATTGCAGAAACACCAGCATAAACCCAGTCACTTGCATGAAAACAGATTAGCTGTGTCTCACAGCACATTTGTGTTTGCACTATAATCAGAGCCTACAAGGCCAACTCAAAGCTGAACCAATACCAGTGCATCCTTAATCTGATCTGTGTTTACACCTGTTCTATGACTGAATCACTTCCGACACATGATAAAGCCAGGTATTCACAGCCTGTTGCATACCTTCATGCGCCTGTAACTTTTCACTTCTCCTTTCTGTACAGAGGCAGGTCCTCTGCCAACAAAGAGGAGGTTGGTAAACAGGGCTTGATCTTTGTTGGAGAACTGCTGTGACCACTCCCAAACAGGAGGGAAAAACACACTCGGGTCTTCTCCTTGAGGGATGGCTTTATTCTTGACAAACTCCTGCAAAGAGAAGAATATACTTACATGATGTTATGAGCATTATGGTACACTCTGAAGAAAAAAAAAACCTAAAGAATAATACTACAATCTAGTATTAGGTGTTGTAACAGAATAAAAGTATCTTAAACTTTATCAAGCTGCTACCTACTATTTATTAATCTAAATAAAATAAATGTTTCAGTAGTACAATAAGATGCAATACTAATTCAAATTAAAACTTTTAAATAATGAATCTAGTTTTCAAAACACATATTTTTTTTWATTTTTTTCCCCATTTTGCTCATTAAAAAACATCTTGCTTTGTTTTATTGTTTGTTTTAGGAAAATGCTATTTGTAAGCTCTTTGTTCTTTGTTGCATTACTATATTTTGGCACAGAACCAAATACACAGCTGCTTGTTTCTTTAAATTCTCACCATCAAGGCCTGAGCGCGATGTTTAGGAGAACTGAAGAGAAAAGTACTGAAGAGTGGGACCCACATGCTGTCATTCAGTACTATCAGATAGGCCTCTGAGAACTCAAACGCCACTGGGTACTGGTTCATCATCTGCCACACGCAGTCCAGGAACAACGTGAACAGTGGGGACTTTGATAAAGAGAACAAAGAACAACAGAGAATAAGAAAGTGAGTTTCAGAAAATGTGAGCGGATTCATCTACAAAATGACAGGATTCATTTAAAAAAAGAATACCTCCTCTTTGTCATTTTTTTTCAGATGGTTGCATCTTTCCAAGAAGCGATGGCCAGCCATCACCCACTCCTTCTGCACCAAACTCTGAAAGCCAATCAGAGTGCGGTAGTAAGGGTCCAACATGATTTGAACCAATGAGGACACCACACAGTTGACATCYCGGTCTTCTTCCTCTGTGTAAGTGAAAAATTAATTATGAGAGGAGAAAAAAATATTATAACACAATACATTTTAAATGTTAAATAGTGTTCTGTAGTAAAAGTCAAACTCTGCTGTAACATCACAAATTAAGCTTAAGTATAAAACTGATGTGTCCATAACAAAAGAATTACCATGGAGAACAACAGAGGCATTCTTTCCATCCAAGTAGTACACGACTTCTGCTGCTTGTTTTAAAAACATCCTTAAATTACAGAAAAAAACAAACAAAAATGACCATAAAGTTGAATAATTTCCTCTCAGTGAACATTACATTTATATTCTTTAATAGTTGAACACTTATCTAAACAATTTAACAAATAATGTTTTTAAAAGAAAAAAAAAACATCATGTAATTCAAATACAACACAGAAAGTACCAGAAATATTTTTTTTCAGGTTACTGTAAGTAAAGATTAGCAAGGGAATAATAAACTGATTCCTTAATCTGCCACAGAACTGATAATTTGTAAAGAACAGAGAGCTTGTTTACATACCTGACGTATTCCAGCCATCGTGTGTTTTCAAGGCATGTAAGCCATTTCTCTTCCGTCTCCTCAAAAGGATCTGTATAATCAAAAGTAGAAAATGACTGCAAAACTCTGCACACTAATGTTTCCACAACAAAGACAAGCACACTAAATTAAACTTCCTACACAGACTGAAATGTAGCGTTGACCCACTTTTGTTTCTGAACGTTTCAAAGAAGCTCACCTAAGATGCAGAGCTGCTTGAGTTTAACAAACGCAGCTTGGATGTCCTGGATATTAGGCACATTTTTATCCACCTCTATCAAGGCCAGTTCGCCGCTCTGTGGGTGGCTTTTCTTGATTGCATTGAAAATTCTGCAACGATAAACACGAGATGATTTGAGATGCAGATTATTAAAATAATTAGAATAATTCAGGGCTCCTAATAAACATTTTTTATTTCAAAATTCAAAGATTTTCTTGGTTTACAAATTTCAGTGTTTTTTTTTTTTTTTTTTACAGCCAGATCTGATAATAAAAGATAAGTGTTTAGGGGCTGTGGACTAAAGTGTAAATTTTGTCAATAAGTGAAAGCCAATACATCACTTTAAACATGATGTATCCCCACAGAATATGGAAAACTGCATGTGTGCAAATAACTGTGGATTCTAAGTAACTCTAAGATACACAGAGAGAAAATATTTAACTCAGCACTTCCTGTGATAGATTAACCAAAAAGAGGCAATATGTGAACTTTGGTCATTCTCTTTGTATTAACAAATGTGACAAACACTCTAYACACTAATTTGTTGAAAAATGAAAACAAGAATCATCCTRAAAAGAAAAAAACAAAAAACAAATCCATCCTCATAGTTTTCTAAAATACTTTTCTGGGAATTGCTCAAATTTCTATAATTTACAAATTTGTTTCAAACCTATTCTTTATTAAAAACACATCTTAAGATAAACTCTACACCCTCCATCAGCTGGCTGCTACACACTTAGCCCAGATTAAATCAACATAAAAGAGATTAAATTTAATGTAATGTAACCAGAGCTACTTCTTGGCATGCCATTAATGCAAACAAACCCTAACCCCCARGCCCATTTTCTATAAAACATTGTGGAAAAGAAAAACTTAAGACAAGAAACAAATGGTTTGAGACCCAAMTGATTTTTCTGTAATTGTGAACAGAGCACTGATTAGAGCAGATGAGAGGCTCTTTGACAAAAATAAAAGATTTATAAATTTTCATTACTTTTGATCAACCTTCCTCGGACTTGTTTGTTCAGTTATATTGGACATGCGGACAAGAGCACTGCCATTGGGGTGATTCCAGCACCATATCTGCAACAAGGAGGAATTTAAATAAAACAAAAACAACAACAACCCCCCACACACACACACACACACACACATACACACAAAAAAACAACAACAAGATTCTTCAGTTAATTAAATTCAACATAAAATCAGCATGTACTGGTTTGAGCCAAGCTGTTTAGTTTAAAATTTGATAATAAAATAGAATTTTATGTGTAACAACAAACTGAACTGGGTAAATGGCATTTTTGTAAATGAGTAAACAATCAATGAAAATATCAGAGCTTACTCACAGGGAGGCGACCATCAATAAAGAATGGAGCAAACTGCTTTAGATCTTGATCTGTCAAATGAACTGGAACCACAAAGTGCTCTGGAAGGCTAACAAGGAGATCAGAAAAAGGCCGGTGTTATTTAAGGGAACATGACATCTGTGACACTCACCACTCATCTGTGCCAACCATTTTATTTAATGTGAGGAGAATGGCTTAATTCCATCGTTTATACAAAATGAGTGAAAACTACAGATAACTTCTTGGCACTAAAACTAAACTGTTGCCACTTATCCAAATATCTTTAAGTATGAATCAAACCCTGGAGATAACAGATTTACAGACCTTGAACAGAAGCCATTATGTTCATTGATGGAGCAGACCCTCCACCCATAAGCACCGGTTCTCTTGATTTCCCGATCCCAGTCAGATGAGCGGTTAAAAGTAGGTGTCTGTAATCCTCCTCTTTTGTTTGAACCATTGACCTGTTCTTCTGTAGGGTTTTAAAAATAAATGGAAAAGTTAAATGGAGACATAACTTTATTAAAATTTTTCATGCATTAATGGGTTCAGGTTAGACATCTTTCTCAACCGCAGTGCACTGGTTATGTGTGAACACATACCCCCACCCTCCAGATACTTTTGGGGGAAAATGCTGATTTTTAAAATATTTAAGCACCTTTAGATTGATGGTATCGCTGCCCTTGATACTCAAAGCCAAACAGTAGCTGAAGATCGGCTGGATGGGAATAGTGGGCAATAGCAAGGCAAACCTGTAATTAGAGCAAAAATCTTTTTTAAACTATACGACAAAAGAACAATTAAATAGTGAAATTACTGGTGAAAAGTTAGACTTGATTTCACTGCAACGGTTCAGTTCTAGAAGTTCCAAGTTCATTCAAGGATGCTAATAAATTCTGAGGAATTTGCTTTAATCATACAAACACAAACACAAGTGAAACCTGAAAAAGCAAACGTCTGACAGACAGCACACTGCTCTGGGTTACAGGACTGGAAATCTCTGTGGCTCTGCCTAAAGTCTAACAAAGCAGTCCATTCAGCTGTGAACAACACCAGAGGACACAAAAAAGGTATGTGTGAATGTGTGCCCACATGAGACTGTGTGTGTATAAATAAATTWAAAAAAAAGAGGGGCTGCTCCCAACTCTGTAATTTCCTATGGCAAAATGAGCTATTATAGGCTGGCAAATTCCATATGTTAAAGAGTTCAAAAAAGGCCCAAGTCCAGTTTTAGGTTCATACTGTAATTACAGACACGGTGTCTATGAATAAACCCATAAAAAGTGAGAGTGGACACATTTCACTGCCTTACATTGTAAGCAATTTCTTGTGTTTCTAACCAAGTTGTTCTTCCCTGTTCAGAACAGTGTTATACACTGTCAAAAAAAATTACTGCAGATATATGTTGTGGTGTTGCAAATGCACCAGTTCATACAAAAAACTGCTTCTATATGACAACAGGAGAGATTAGACCTGTAGTCCCTCCTGCAAATTAGATTTTTGATCTCAGTGGGGTTCTAAATCTGGTTTAATACAGGAAATGAAAAGTCATGTGCATGACAGGAGCAGCTCTTTTAAAAAGATAAATCCTCTGATTTTCTGATAAGGTTGCAGCATCATAAGCTCTAGGCATAATGTACAAATTTCATGAAATCACATAGGCCTTATTTAAAACCACTGACTTTCTGAATATAAATAYTAAACAGCATTTGATTGTTCTCACCTTTCTAAACTGAGTACAGGTATAAATAATTGCCTAAGATCCTCTGTCATTCAGGTCATAATCAAAACAGATGATTTTGTCTCAACCTTTTTTGAGTGCAAAGAACGAAACATCTGTTTGCTTTGTTGTAGATGAGTCTGACTCACACAGCCAGTTGGTCAAACGTTCAAKATTAAATTGTGTTTCCTCCACCTTCAACAAGTATTGTTCATAATGACCCTTTGTTCTTTAGCTACTGAATATACTTCCTGAAAATATGGTTATTTCCATTAAAACGGAATGTGACACAGCTGTACATAGAAACAGAGATGACATCATTCAACCGACAGGCTGTAACAATTAACATCAAACTGAATTCACAAACTGTAGTCAGGAAAATAATACATTTTTCCTTCAAAGTACAACATAATAAAATTAAAATATTGACAGTCATGTTCTGTGCAGATTACTAATTGGTAGATATATTGAAAAATATTAGGGTTAAATGACCCAAATTGTCTTAAAAACATTTCTTCTTAGTTGGACCGTCTATATTTTAATTAAGTCTACTTTTTTCTATTTTAAAATACATTTTTTTATTTTAAGCTATTAATTTTTAGCCATATTGGCTTTCATTTTATGAGAAGTTTACTCACTGTTCATCAACTTGCCTGTACACTGACCTAACATCAGTGACCTTAAGTTACTGAAATGGAAAGAAGAGTGAGTAAATAGAGGAAATTACTCACTTTTTTGGAGGTCTCGGGCGCAGCCTCATGAAAGCAGAAGCGTATTATACGCCAATCTTTGCAGTAAAGAATAAGCTCTGTGGGGTCGAATTTTAGTTTCTGGTTGGAGCCCAAGACTTTCTTCTTTCCCTTTGTGTCATTAACTGAAASAAAGATAAAAAACAGAGAAAATTAAAGCTTAAAGCCACTGCACAACAGATAACACTTGTTGATAACTATATCCAGATTCACATGTTCAGCACTTCCCTGTTGTGATCTAATTTAAATCTTAAAAAACAGCATTCTACACAAATAAAAAGTTATATCAACATAAATAGCTGCAAACTGTTTATTCTGTCTCATTATGAGAACTCTGATATTACTTGTTAAGTTTTAAACAGGTCAAAAACAAACTGAGCAAAACAAATCCCCGTGCTTCATTGCTGTAACCCGACAAAGCGTGCACTGGCTGTTTGGGTTTGCAGCATCAGCAGTAGGCAACACTGAGACAGATAAAGACAACCAAACCTCCACTGTGACATCACACGCTATCAGATTGCCAACTAGAAACACAAACAACAAATGACTCCAGCTGCCTCTAAATGAATAATGAGAAGTGGTCTAGGCTTTCTAAGGTAATCCTGGTTAGATTACTCCAGTCAAACAAGTTCACCAGGATGCAACTAATTTAAGTTTAACTCGTGTTGTTCAAAGAAAATAGTATTTGGAATATTTTGACAATTGAGGTAAATGAGGTGTCACGGCAGTAAGAAACCAATAAAATACTACTCACATTGCAAATAAGTAAATAAAGTATATATATTTCAAATCTAAAGTTTTGCTTGTTTAAAAACCCTGAATCTGATGTACCTGTAACTACTTGGTCCAGACAGGTCAGGGGGATGTCATGCTCTCCAAGCAACAGGTGTGACATATGGGACTTCTATACACAAAGGCAAAAAAAGAAAACAAGATTAACATCTTTACAAACATTGCCATATTCCAAATACTCTACAAAATGTTCAATTCAACAGTAGCTGTTGTGCTGTGTTCCTCAGAATGAGCCGTGCTCAAGTGACATTTTGTTTTGTGCCAACAATCTGTCAAACAGATGGAAATGACGTCAGTCCTCTCACTTCTTGTGCGATCACCAGCAAGGAGGTTTTCCTTCCTCTTTGACAGATGCACTTAGTGTACAAATAAGGTTGTGTGTTTACTAGTGTCCTATTATACAGAATATTACACAAAGATTTCAACACTGCATTTTCAACCTTTTTAAGGACTGCATGTAAGGAAAAACAAAACAAAACAAAAAAACAGAAGATATAACAGAACAGAAAAACATTCAAATGCAAACATTTGCATTCAATTATTACAATTTCCCTACTTTAAAGATATCTACTATCTACCTGCTTCTTAGGTGGAGCATCTTGAGGAATGAAGGAGACCTTAAAGTTGGTGCATATCAACTTCCCCCAGAGGTCGTTCTGGCTGCTCTCAGTGCTGATGCACTTTTTCACAAAGAGAGCCTCGTTAACTACGATCTCTCCTGGGTAAAAATAACATTAAAAAATGTTTTAAAATTACCGTATAGCCTTGCTGCAGTTCATGAAGGCACAGAAATTTCAATTTAGAAGAAACAATTAGCATAATCTGAATTGAAATACAAGACATTTTAAGATACATTGTTAATGGGTTACATATTGTTCACATTTTTTTCAGTATTTAAATATTTAAACCAAACCTCTTTACTATTATGCTTTAAATTATTACATTTACTTTATRTACACATTAATTACGATGGTTATTAAAAAATGTTGTACTATATAACAAATGGCTAATGTATATATTGCTTTGTAGATAACCTGGAGATGAGTAAAGTCTAAATCAGTGGAAGTGTTTCTGTGTGTCAATTGTGCTTCCCCCCAGCTCATCTTAATTTGTGTTGCTACTTTTACTTCATTTTCAGCTAACATCCTACATATGTTACAAAACAGGAAGCTGAGATAATTTACAATCTAAACCTAAACTGTTTGCCAATGGGTTAATGAAAAAAAAAAAGAAAATCTTTAAAGAGCAACATAATCTTTGTCCCTTCATTTGATGATTAAATGATTCAGATGGAGTAGCAGGGTGGAGACATTGCAGACATATCAACGCTTTGCTTCAAAGAAGCCAAACAAGACTGTACAGTCAAAATGGAGAAGCTGATCATGAAACCTGTTCATCTGCCTGGCTGATAAAACAGCAAGACTTAAAAGGACAACTGTTACATCATATTTTCCTAATGAACTAACATCAACAGTAGTCATGTTGATGTGACACCTAAAAAAAACGTAACCTAACCTAACTTAATTAAAGGTTTTTGTGCACAAAGAGTTTTTACCAGGGGACCMTGGAGAACGATAGAAAATGCAGAAGTTAAATCAAGACGTTTTTACTTTAAAATCAAAAGTGCATAACAACAAAAGGATTAAGCATCTTTGTAACAAAGAACAGCCTATTTAGATWTTGTAGAAACATTATCATACCACTGGTAATGTCTACAAACTTGTTGCAAATTATATTAAATGAATTTCCTAAAGCTGGCAGGTTTTTTTTTAACTCTCAGTCTTTACTGTCATAAAACTTTGAGCTGGACCAACTACTTTTAAAGTGTTTATGTAAGTAACGCCTGACCACCTCAGAAACTTCCCTGCACAAGCTTCAATGAAATTTACCATGAATCTTTTATTTCAAGACTAAATGAACAGTCTAACGATAATAATGATGATCAATGAGAAAATGTTAGAAATCTAAATAAACATGTTTTAGTTAGTAATAGTTTTTGGTCAATTCAATTTGTTTTTATTACCTTAAAAGACCTAACTGACGAGCAGGTCAYTCTACATGGAAGATGGAGAATATCGTTTCAAAAGGCACACARAAATGTGTTTTTTGGACCAACGCGTTGTTGCAAAGTTAATAAATGTTTTGTGATAAGCTTGACGATTCACTTTTGAAAATTACAGGATCATACTTAATGCAACCTAAAACTCAAAACAGGCATTGAAGTAAGAATCAGCCACATAAAAGAAACAAAACAAAACATTAGAAAATAAAAATTAAAACTAAACTGAGTTTCTTTCAGACAAAGGTTGTTGATTCAAAKGGAGAAAGAGAAAAACAAGATACTCAAGAGTGTAAAGTTACACATTTGGTATCATGAAAAACAAACTAACCAGGAAGTAACGTGGGCTCCAACTTTTTAATAGATGGTGTAACAGTTGTCTTCACATCAGTCTAGAGAGAGAGAGAAAAAAAAAGGAGAATGCCTTATCTGAAATGTGCTGACTTGACAGGGTAATCAACAATCCCAATAATGTACTAGCATATAGAGAAAGAATAGAAAATGAACAACTATTTTTGTCATTGTGTTAAAAAAAAGGCAATAAATCTGAAATTTCTCAGCTGGTCAAACTATTACTTGTGAATTATGCATGTAGCAAGGTTTGCAAATAGAAAAAAAATAGGCCATAACCACAATGAGGTTGACATTCTGACATGATTTCCTAACATAACTTTATGTAAATGTATTTATTTGAAATGTTTAATCATTAGATTGTAATGAACACTGTGCATTACACTGTGCATCAATGTTATACCCTCAATTGTTTATATGCATTCCCTCACACTGCTATTGCTTATAGGGAAAATTAAAACTGTGTTGTTGTTGATCTGATCTACTAAACATTCATTAAATATAAACAAAAGATAAATACAAATGATAATGAGATTAGCRATAGTAAGGGGTCTAATAAAAATCTAAGCTATTGTATGTCGATTCTGGTGTTTAGAGTCTTTCCTCAGACATTTTAATTTTGGGGAGTCTTCTGATCGCTTGAATCCTTTAAACAAAGTTATAAACAAACTGAATGCCATCAGGCTACATATAGCATTTACAGACAAATGTTTGATGTTTATTTACTTGACTTGCTGTATTTAAACACCCCTTGCAACTACTATTACAGGTGTCACATAAATGACGTAAAGCACAAAACTCAAAATCTATTCAGTAAAGGTACAAGTTGTCCAATAATTGACTTAGTGAAGCCAAGCAGGCCACGAAGATTAGCTCAAAGGGAGTTCCACCTGAAATGAGGGCATTTGTAATTAAGCTTTTAACGTAAAAATAATTCAATAAAATATTCACAACAAATACCTGGACAAATATATTCGTTCACTGTATCTGATACGATAAAACTTACCTGAACAGGAGGAAGATAACTCCTAAAAGTGGGTTTTGTAGCTTTGGCAGAGAACATTGTTTATATCCGCTTTTTGTTGTCGACGTTCATAAAGTTAATGAACCAGTGTTTTTCTGCTGCCACCGGGGAAAAAATCCAAAAGCAAGCTGTCAGGAAAGTTTTTGGTCAGCCCTTAGCCGAGTTAATCCCAAACGCCCTTGAGTGAAAACATTTATCGAGACATTTTGGGCGAACGAAGACACTCCTCCATTTGGATAAACAGTCGGTGTCTGCTCAAAAAAGTTGACAGAGTTTGAGTTGAGACGTCGGCGTTAGCTTGGTTAGCTAGCTAGCATAAACTACAACATAAAGTTTAGAAATATCGTCCCATATGCAGAAATACAACTGTAAAAATAAAAGGCCAATGCGTCCGCTAATGGCCTACATTTTCCTTACACCTGTTACTACACAAGTTACCCTCACTTACTTCCTCAAAGTCCAACTAATTCAACTAACGCAGTACCTGACGCTGCAAACGACTTAACTGCCATCATGGGAGCCGAGGTCCCGCCCTATTTCCGGGCTTACTGTTGCTGTCTACCGAGACTTTCCAACTTCAAATTTTCCAACAAGTTAACGTACAGCGAGATGAGACATCCTGCTCCTTTAATAAACGAACTGTATACCTGCTACAGCGCGTGACAGCAAACATGACTMGTTTTTTTTATTTCAAAATTACATCAGTTTTTGTTTCAGCGATCACAAAGTACGCTGACCACTTTTGGACTACAAATCCCATCAGGCATCGCGTGAAGTCCCATGGAAGCTCGCGACCTTGTTCTCCGTCTTTTTTCCCCCCTGTTAACACTTTTCCATTAAAAAAAATGCGTTAAAAACAAAAACAACACTGTCGTTTTCTTTTAATTCCCCAAGTAATTATTTATTTTTCCAGTTCATTATTTGCAAACATTTGGCAAACGTCTATGGATAGCTATAGCCAAGCTAAAAAATAAAAATAAAATAAAATTCCCAAGGGATTGTGAAGCACCAAGTCACAACAAAAGTCGCCTGAGGGCACTGTACAACAACAGAGATACGTGTGGTGTCCTATCGGGTTCCGCAGGTTAAAAAAAAAAAGCAATTTAATCACTATTTTTGCTCCTTGTGTTTTGAAGTAGTTTGTTATCAGTGGAACTTTTAATACTAATTAAGCGTAGGCATGTTCAAATGCAATTAAATGCTTAAATAGAACAGCATATTTTCACCTGGGGACATTTTAGAAATATATTAACGTGTAGTGTTTGGGATGTGAAGACAACTAGGAGTCTCTTTTGCATTATTTCTGATATGCAATGTCTTTTATTGTCCACTAGATGGCAACAAAACAACATTTTGTGGATCCCAAACGTTTTGTCATTTTTATTTGGTGATAAATGATTTACTGACATTAATATGGAAGCCCATTTCCGCCACCCTGATAAAAAATAAAACTTGTATCTCTATGAGATAGCTAAGTCATAATTATGAGATACAAGTTTTATTTATTTTTTTTTATCAGGGTGGCGGAAATGGGCTTCCATACATTAGTACAGTCAGTCTGATAGATTTTTATTATTATTATTTTTGCCAGGTGGAAAATACTGCGTTGTTATGTTTTTATTTTACAGGTTCGACTGAAAAACACAACACAGGCACTCATACACATGTTTTCTTTTTTTAAAATTAGTTTTATTTTCTTTGTGCACTCTCATCTTGTCATACTTTCAAACAAAAATGTTTTTGTATAATAATTATAAAACGATTAAATATCAATAGATAAAAACAACAACAATGATATGAATAACAATAAATAAATCAGTACAGAGAAAAATACAACAGCAAACTGAAATTAACAGRAAGGGATTCTGTGCAGTAGAGATTTTATTTAGACCATTTATATATTGATTATGTTATATAGGAAAAATGCGTTTATGTATCAAAATAATGTATTTGCCATGACTTATACTAGTTTATGCTTTTTAACAGCATAATTCAACATTTTTAACAAAATAAAAAGATATCTTATTTGAAAGTCAGTAGTCTTAGTTTCACAGTACAAGTGAGTTTTTGTTTGTAGTACAGTTAGAGTAAATATGATGGAGATAAAACTAGTTTTGTCTTTTCATCATTGATGAAGAAAGCTGAATAAAGTCTAATTGTGTTAGTTAGGAAACCCTTGGAGGTAATGGGTCCCTGTCTGGTGGGATGTTGACGTCATCCTTTTAGGACCAGCCAGAGCTGCGCGCATGCTCAGTCGTGCCGCTCCCAGAAACCTAATAAATATTTAAATATCCTGCACGCGCCCGGGCCCTGTGATTGGTTCCCGCGGCTCGGCATCCCGTGTTGTGTTTCAGAGCTGATGTTTGACGGCTCTGTGTGCGACTGAACGATGGACTGAGGACACAGCTGAGAGGGCTGTCCGCGCTTTACTGGAAGTATCTCCCGTAAACTTGGATGTTATTTCTTCTTCCCTCCTCTCGGTCTTTTTTTAAATTATTTTTTAGGCTGAATACATTTTATTACTTTGAGCAGCTCCGAACTTCACCGAGGCTCGCGCAAATCTCCTGGAACGTGGGAACACGAGAGAGAAAAGTGCGACTGAGAGATTAGAGTATGGTGAGTGTGATATTATGGTCCCACTTGTTTGGAGTTTGTCATTATAGACCAAATATATTCCTCTGAGCCGCTGTACCGCCTATAAAACTAAAAGGAAAGGGAAGATACACCTAATTAATATAATTAGTAGATATTATATTTAGTAAATACAATAAATGAAACAGCTCAAAATGCTTGATTCTTTTAGATTTACCTTTTGATAATTATATATATAAACCAACTAACTTCTCAGATTGATTTAATTGTGCCTTCTCATAAAATAAGTACATTTGATCTATCTGAGACAGACAGAGTCTGGCCCTTTCTGACTGACACCACAGAAAAATGACACAAAACCATTTAGACAGGTGCACAATCCTCAACAAACCGGTTAGTCTGCTGGGGATGCATGCATCAGGTGGAGTGTGGACAGTAAGTGCAGCAGCTTGCTGTGTGTCACCTTTTTTACTCACAGACAGGTTTTTCCTGGTCTCGGAATAAAAACCATCCCTGCAGCAGACACACCTCAGAGCTAGGAGACTGTGTGGCCTGATCACAGTGTTTTGACAACAATTCTTCAAGTCTGTATCCACTGTGGAAAAAAACTTTATTTTACTGTGACTTTTCTCACTTGTCTCTTTTAGCTCCAGTGTTCTCTGTTCGACTACAGAGGTTTTAAAGTGGCCTTGAAACATAAAATTTGCACAAAAARTAAGGAAATTTGTGTTTAGTAGATTAGTTATTTGTTGTAATGATGCTTAAATCTTATACCGTTGGAAAGCCTGTTAAATTCCCTTTTTAAATGGTGCCACATTTGTAAGGAACATGCGTTTGTGGGAAGAATAGAGCAGAGTAGGTTGTGCTCATGACAAATTTGCCAAATCTGTTTTGTTGTTGCTATTGACGCATGTTTAGAGCTTCTGGTACCCCCAGGYGCTGCCAATCAGATGCCCACTATAAGATTTATTGCCAAGAAGCATTGTTACAACAAATWATTAATCAAACACAAATTYCTTTACTTGCTGTGCTAAGTATAGTTGTTACTGCCTGTGGAGACAAMTTGAAACTCCTAAGATCTTCTCATCTTCACACCTGCTGTCTTCATCACTTCATCGTTCTTCTTTTTTTTCCTTTAACATTTTTTATTCTATCGTCTTGAGCAAGAGYGCTGCACCTGAAGGTCAGGTTATCCCAGGTTAAAAACGGAAGAAGAAAAGTTACTTAATGTGCACTCAGCCTAAAAACACTTGCAACCTGAACTAAAACTGAACATGTCCCGAATATAATCCTGCATCACCTCTGCTTTAATCTTGGCTTGKGATGCTTTTCTCATGGATATTAAAGTTGAACTTTTCCTGCTCAGTCTTTTTGGTTCAGAATATGATCAGGAAWAGAAAATATATTTAGAGGCGATGAATCATAGAACTAAATCTGTACTTCTAAAAAAAAAAAGGATGCTTTAAACGTCTCAGATGTAGTTCTGTCAGTGTTTTTTTCCGGTGAAAGAGAGGAAGGAGTGTATCAGCTCATGCACAAAGTAGAAGAGTCTGATTGTCATCACTGTCTGGTACTGCAGACACGAGCATCTCTCACTTCTTCCCCCCCCCCCCCCTTTTTCATTTCTTTTTTGCAAGTTATAGTTTGACAGCAGATGGTCTGTGTTAGTTTCTCCTGATATGCATATTGTGTAGCTCCTCTGCCCCCTCTGGACTGAAAAACTTCATCACTGCTGTAGAGATTTCCTCCTGAACTCCAGGCTTGTGTCTGAAAACAGGATRAGCACTCATCATGTGGACCTGGAGAACCCGTTCGTCTCATCCCTGCGCTTTATTCTTGTCCCGTTCTGCTTTTGATCGGCTCCATTTATTGATACCTGCAGCTCTGTCTGTCAGCTATTTACATCTCATGATTGTTTACTTATCCCACTGTAGGACCTGCTGTAAATCGCAGACAAGACAAGCTCATAAACTGCTAAATAAATGTTTCCAGCACATCGTAAATACAATGTCCTGAAATGACACAAAACCATTTAGTCTGAAATGTCCATTGTTGAGCTTTTTTGACAGTTTTTTAAATATCTTCAGTGGAACTTATTTGCTTGTTCTTTGTCACGCAGAAACTAAAACCTTTTAGTGGCTTTAATGAGCATTTATTAATTTACTCCATGACCGGACTTTAATTTTGAAAATTCAGCCAAGTGTCTGTCTTAAAGCAAACATGTGATTTTAAATCCTTTTTTCCACATTTAAATTACTCATTTGGCATCTATAAAGTGGAACTGCARTGCTTTGGTCTGAGTTCCTCCTTGTTGTAACTCCACAAGCCCCTCTTTCATCCCTTTTTCTAAACTGTTTCTCAGATCAACTCATTTTGAAGCTGTCTCTTTAAAATCCAAAAACTGTGTCCCATWTGACTGTGCTACTCTTCCTGTGCCTTAGAGTCAACTGTGCCCATTTTTCTGCTGCAGATATATTAAAATAAGAACCCCTGRCCTCGTATGATTATGGTACTTTTAGCCAAAGTTCTTGGTTTGTAACATTTTCAAACATTATTTGGGTGTTTTTATTTTATTTAAATTTGTTCCTTAATTATTTGACCTTATTCTATCGGCTTATTCCACAGTCCACGTTTGAGTCAGTTGGAAAGTTCTGAGCGTTATCATATTTTTAGTAATGACAGCAGTGTGACTAATTATTAGCTGCTTAGGGAAGTCTCAAGTCAAGAACTCAGACTAACACATGTAACTCAGTGAGGACAGTTTCATGAAAATAGTCATGGTGGTCAAGCATATTTCCTTACAAGTATCCCAAAACTGTTTTTCTAATGTTTATTTGGGTGAGATGTTCCAAATGAGTCATTGTCATCCTGTGAYTGCTGTTTGACTTTTTATGCGTTGYTAGTTTTATTTATTTTTTCTTGTTCTCAGACCATGAACCAAGCAGCTTCCTGTCATTGCTGCTAATTTGCATTTGTTGCTTTACTGGCTGTGAAACAAGGTCAGACTCCTGCAGCACGGCTCAGGTTATCTGCTCTGAGCCTGATAGCTCCGTGTTGACACACAGCAGTTTGGCTTTTAGCTGTGTCCAGCTGAAACTTTATACGTCTTTACGCTTTCATTTGCAGTGAGTTTGTGTGGCTGATCACTCCTCACAGGTGAAGATAATGTCCAACAAGCCTGTTAAATGATCAGATGATTGACTTTAAACCGGGCCGTGTTTTGAACAACTGATTTTTGACAATCACCTATCAGTGTTTTGTGCGTGTTTGCAAAATAACATTCAGTTTAGCATTTTATTCAGCTGCTCACTTTCGCCCACRACACACCTGACTCGGCCTGGTTTGTACCTCGGCAGCTTCCTCATGTTTATAATATAATCTACTCTGAAATATGATTTGATCCTGTTTTTTTAAGTTCTAATTATTGATCATTGGTGGGATTTCGTTTTTGTTTTGTTTGTTTTCTGACCTGATTGTAACATTTTTAGCTTTGCTGAAAAGACCACCTCAGTGCTCTCATGAAGCATCATTACCACTGAGTCGTTATTGTGAGGATGCTGTTTATTTGCTCTTTTTTTCTGGCTTTGAACCATCACACATAAAACTCTGAAWGTTGAGTTCACTTAAAATGTTTAGCTTTGTAATAAAATAAGGATACTTTTGATTTTACATTGTTCCAAATGTCTCAAAGGAGCTCAAAAGTTATTTTGTTTTGCCTTACAAATGATGAGCTGTTCTCACTGAAGATATCATTTAGATACTARAGGGACTGACATTAGTTTCTTTTATTTGCTCTAAATAAATTATTTTAAAAATCCAAATTGTCAGTTAGCTATAAGATAATATAATTATATTTACCTCAAAAAAACAACTTGCTTTTGTGTATTTATGATGTAAACCTTGTGGAAATAGTTCCAAAAACTGTAGACTGTGACCAATGAGGAAGAAGGTTTTAAAAAAGATTTGAGTGTTATAAAAAGAGGTCTTTGGAAACAAAGTCAAAATTARCTRCTTTGAGTTTTTTCTGGCAAATAACGGATCTGAGTCATCGTCTGTCTTATAAGCTCTGATTAATACTTCTTTAGTCTCAGATTATTCAGTTTAAAAATGTTAAATAACTTGCTTGTATTAATGAGAAATGATGTTTCCAATGTTTTACTGTTTTTAAACTAAGTGTCCTGCTGTCTTATCAACTTGAAATGTTACTCTCGTGCTTATTAAATAAATCAAGTGACTTCTTACTGCTTCCTGTTTATCAGTTAACAAGTGATGAAGAGTTTCATCACTCCTCAGTCCTTTGTGAGTTCTACTGCCTGACAGGGTTGTTACAAACCAAATGAAATACTGTTTTTAACGTAATCAGCAGTATCTGACTCTTCATGTCCATGCAGTCTGCTGGTGTCATTGTGAACCTAAATGAACGTCTTACATCTAAACAGGTTCAGCAGTTGTTTCATGTGTCTGTATTTAGCGAAGAGCAGCATGTATTATGAACCTGTGCAGGCAGCGTCCTCTTCCATTTAGCTGCCTACATCATTGCTGTTTTTGCTTTCATGTAGTTAACTGCCTGGATGATTAAACATAGATATGCAGGCACCGCACCCTGAGAACCTGCTGGAGAGAACACAATGTGAGCTCCGAAATGAGGAACTTTCTTTTTTAAAGTTTCTGTTACATAAAGGGCGACATTTGTCTCCTGAAAACGAGCAGGAAAAAAAAAGTTTTTCTTGTTCGTTGGAGCGTTTGTCGCACAGTAACTTGAAGATTTTTGTTGTGTGGCAATAATATCTGGATTTCAAAATAACTTTTTTGGCAAACCGTAATTGGGTTTCTGTTAGCAGTGTGTGTTTCAGAGATTAGTCTGTTTTCCAACGTTTTTTATTTTTTTAATTTTTTACAGAAAACAAGAAATCACTTCAGAGATACAAAACGCTTAAAATAAATTCTCTTAGAAATAATTTTAGGAACTTCCTWCTCTCATGGCAGCTGTTTGATAAAGATAGTGACAGCAGCATTTTAGAACT